TAACCCTGCTTGTATTTATTATATTCTTCCTCTGTGCTAGACTGTGAATTATGACTACTTGCTGTTAGTGTGCCTTGTCCTCATCTTGCCATAATTGGATACATTTTGTTTTTTTCTGGAAAAATTATGTAATTAAACTTGTTAGAACTATGCCTGAAATGTTGAATGTCTGATAGGCTATCCTGGGAATCAGATGCATGGTAAGACATTTATTTTTGCTATTCATTTTTCTATTGTTGAGGTTTTTGGAGAAGTGAGAAGTTTCTAGAAAGTCTTATGAACTGAGATACCACCTTACTGGAGTTGTCTGCTAGTGAAAAGATGAGCATTTGGGGGCAGGTAAGCATGTTTGCTTGGGAAGGTAGAACTGCAGCCACTACTTGGACCTCACCAGCGTTCACAGAGAGGCAGCATAGTTTATCAGTGCATTCTTCCCCCAAAGCTGCATGGTTGGCTGTTTTCTGGAGAGCACCACAAGTTCTGGGACTGTAACCCACAGAACCCGTCACTGCAAGGACTGTCCAGAGTGAGGCAACTGTTGCAAGGCTTAATTCTTCCTCCCTTCCCTCAGGGCTTCAGAGCCCTGTGAATGCATCCTGTGAACAGCCAGGTCTGTGCAGAATTAAGAAGCATTTGGTGTGACTTGTTTCAACGAGTTCTTGAAGAAAATAATGCTTCACGAATAGTTATTGAGACCAGTTATTGGCTCATGCCTGTAATCCCAACACTTTGGGAGGCCGAGGAGGGAGGATCACTTGAGGCCAGCAGTTTGAGACCAGCCTGGACAATGTGGCAAGACCCTTATCTCTAAAAGAAAAAAAAGGGGGGGAGAAGAAGGAAATGGTTATTGAAATTCTACTAAACGAGTGCAAACCATCCCCTCTGTAGATAAAGAGCCAACCAAGTCTCTGTATACAGGAAGAAGGAAATAGGAAGCTGTTGTCAAAATAATATTGACAATAAGTAACTGAATCAAATGGGATGGTTCTGCTCTAAGAATCAAACCTGAGCCTGTAGGTTCTAAGAAAGCAAATGGTGGCTGGGTGCAGTGGCTCACTTTGGGAGGCCGAGGTGAGGAAATCACGAGGTCAGGAGTTCGAGACCAGCCTGGCCAACATGGTAAAACCCTGTCTCCGCTAAAAATACAAAAAAATAGCTGAGCATAGTGCCGGGTGCCTGTAATCCCAGCTACTCAGGAGGCTGAGGCAGGAGAACCTCCCAGGAGGCAGAGGTTGCAGCGAGCCAAGATCGTACCACTGCACTCCAGCCCAGGTG